AGTGTACATGTCTGATAAGTAAAAGATGAAATTGCAATGGTATTTAGAAAAAAAAAACAAGCAATGAATTCATTAAATGGCCATACCCACTTTATATCACATTAAAAACAATTTTTTAATAAAAACCACAGAGCAAACCCACTCAGAATTTATGGTTATTTTCTTGTGTCTTCTTAAGTGGCAACCATTTTGGAAGAAGGTAATTTCAGACAGCAATACGGGCATAAGGTGAAGGACCAGTAATGCAGTTCGGGTAAAACAATGTAAATTCTAAGTTAATCAAAATATCTGCAACATTTATTTCTCTTCCTACTATTTTTTGTTTTGTTTTTCTTTTTATGTGAGAAAAATAAACCCTATTTCTGAGTCACAGTTAGGTAGATTTCCTTCAACCCTTCAGCATTCCTGACTAACTGTGGTTCTGCAGTTTATTTCCATTTTCAACACCTGGCATATCCCAATGAGATACTACAAGAATAGGATGGTCAGTCTCAGAAATAAAAGAATAAACAGGAGTACAGCAAAGTACTTTTCCCCATCAACCAGTACTTTTAGTATAATAAATACAGAATCAATTGATAAAATAACTTATTAAGCAAAAGATATTTAGTATCAGCCAAGAAATTTAATACCAGCATAACCAAGAGAATCACATACACATGGAATGTTTGAAAGCAAAGTTGAATTCTAAGAAGTGCCTATAAAACTGTTAAGGAAATATGTGTGCTCAATACAGAATTCATGATTACTAATGTTTTACCCTGGGATGACAGCTTACAAGCTACACCTAAGTAATTTGTTGTACAACATTACAGAGAGATAAATTTGATTCTTCCCCAAGTAGGAGCATGCCTCAACTATCTAAATTTCTAATCACCCAAGAAAAAAATAGCTATTCTTCCATGACACCACTGCTAGATGTGAAGATAAAAAATATTTAACAATTAGCCTACTCCTAAATCTTAAAATATAAATATCTTAAATAGCAGCCTCTGTAAAATATCCTTATCTGCTAACCCACTGTACACATTTGTTATTTCCAACAACTCCAAAGAAAGATATGTGAATCGTCTTTTAAAATTTTTTCCATTTATCTTCATTAACACCTACACAGTACATAATTTTTATTTTTTTATTTTTTTATTTTTTTTAAAGATTTTATTTATTTATTTGACACACAGAGAGAGATAGCAAGAGGGAGAGAGGGGGAGAGAGAGAGAGAGAGAGAGAGAGAGAGAGAGAGAGAGAGGGAGAGAGACAGGGAGAGAACCCAAGCAGGGGGAGCGGCAGGCAGAGGGAGAAGCAGGCTTCCCGCTGAGCAGGGAGCCCGATGTGGGGCTCGATCCCAGGACCCTGGGATCATGACCTGAGCTGAAGGCAGCGGTTTAACCAACTGAGCCACCCAGGCGCCCGGACACAGTACATAATTTTTAAAAACCAGTAAAATCAATATCGTTTCTGGCATCTATATCTTAACCAGGATACTAGTGTACTTAACTTTAATGACCACGTATCTCTTTGTTTTCTAATACTGAAAATGACCAAAGCATTTCTTTATAAACATTATTAGTAAGTGGCACCACCATATAGGTGTTCAAGCCAGAAACCCGAGAGGACTGCCATGTTGAGCAAATAAAAATACAGGATGCCTAGTTAAATATGAATTTCAGGTAAGTTACAAAAAATTTTAATATAAGTATGTACCAAATGTTGCATGGGACTTTAACTTAGACTAAAAGATGTTTCACTAGTCATCTGAAATTCAAATTTAACTGGGCATCCTGTATTTTACCTGACAAGTCTAGCTGGGATTCTTCCTCTGTTACCTTCTATATGAAATCCATCATACCAAGACCTGTCCATTCTACTAAAAACATCAAACACCCATCCAATTTTCTTCATTTCTTCTGCCCCCATTTTGGTCTAAGCCACCAATGCAAGAAATTCCCAACCCGTCTCTCTGCTTCTACCTGTGTAGAAATATCACTTACTCTAAATGCAGTACCATCAGTTTAATACTAAAAGAAATAAAAGCTAACTTCAGGCTTCTCCTTTCCTGAGATCATTATTTGGTAGTCGTAGAAATCTAAAATGTCAAAAGCAGCATGACAGCGGGCCAATGAACTCACAACTCTGAAGAAGTGAGGCCTTTCGTTGGGTCACCTCTGAAGCAGTCCCAAGGAAAGTAACAGTTTTCTTGGGTACACCTGAGCCAATGACCTATATCAGTCATTGTGCTAATTGGTGTTTATTGCCACAAAGGGATGAGCCAGGAAAAATCTGTGCAGAAATAAAGTTGGTTTAAAACATTCTTGTCTTTCAGAGTGCATTCTAAGATTTATAGGGACTGCTTGGTTCTAGCCCACACCTAATTGTGAGACAGATTCCTTTCATCCAACTAGTACTCTATCGACACCTTCTGGGTGGAAGTCTGCTTATCAGCCCAAGGTTGCAAAGCCAGGGAGCCAAGCATTAAAAAATTGGAGCAGTCAGCAAGGAGGATTCAAATATATCGAAGATAGGTGGCATCAACGTCTTCAGATTACTGATGCTCAGGAATAGCGGCTGCCTCCTGATGGATGAATAAATGTTTTGGTTGTGAGAGCTATAGTTATCTTGGTGCTGCCAGCCTGTCAACATTGTCTGATCAATAGATACCAACAAAGCAGATTATACACTGAAACCCAAGCGCAGACTTTAAGATTTGCATGACATTGCAAAGCTGTATAAACTAACCAAATTAAACAAAAATTACAGCTATGGAATTAACAGCAGATCTAAGGAGAAAACAGGTTTTCCTCTCTATCTGAGAGGCCACAGAATTGTTACAAATGACTCTTTGATCACCGAACATGATGGCAATTCAAGCGTTTCTAAGTTCTTACAATGCAAATTTGCACATCCATCTACTTAATACAGAATACCCCCAATTCTTAATGTTGTTGGTACAGAACAAAGAAACTCTATTCAAGTTCCTTCCACATGAAACAAGCATTATAAATGAAGTCAGAAGAGCCTCTACAAGTGTGAGTTACTTTATCAGGGTCCAGTTACTATTTATTATTAAAAGGTAAGTCTTTCTCTGGATAAAACCTAATCACAAAACCAAAACGTTCTCAGAAGCCATATCTAAGATACACTTTTTTGATACATCTTATCTTCTTCTCGACAGCGGAGAATGAAATTTTAAACTATGGATATCCTGGCCAGGCCAACATTAGAGATTAGAAAAGGATATGAATGTACGGACGAAATGAGTCAAGTTAATACCTATAAAATAAATGCGGATGCTGCAAGAGCACACAAACCTTAAAGTTCACACCTTTTTTTCCATGTATAATCTGCTTTGTTGGTGTCCACTGTAGGGGCCAAGGGCAGGCTGTCCCAAAATGTGCCCCTTTGGCATACTATTTTAAATAAAAGTTACTTAAGAAATAGCCAGTCCAAGGTCACTCAGACCCTCCTCTGTCCTCCTGAAAGCAGGAAACAGATCTCCCATAAGAGAAATATCCTCCCTGTACTAAGAAGTAAAAAGACATCTTTATCACCAGAGATAGGGACTTAGAAGCCAAGAGAGCTGTAGAAACAAACCTTGTTTTTTTCTCTTCTACTACCTCAAACTAAATTCTGCTTAGAATCCCCTTCTAATTAAAGCTCCCAAACACCTGTTTTCTTTATCCTGTCAATTCCTCACAAAGGTATGGTCTCTTTGTCTAAAATGTATAAAAACTACCTGCCTTGGTCATTTCTTTAGGTCTCTATTTTAATATCAGACCTCTGCTTACAGGTAATAAAACTTTGGTTTTCTCCTCCTGTTAATCTATTTTTTTTTCTCCTGTTAATCCATTTTATGTAACTTTCATTTAGTCCAGTTGGAAGACCTTCATGGGTAAAGATTTTTTTCCTTCCCTACACCATCGATCACACAACAGAGTGACAGACTAACAGCACTCCTGGCTAACTTGTTCTCACAATCAAAATAACTGTAAAATGATTCATTCCCAGTTCCTTTTGGCACCTGGGACCACAGACCCGAAAATCAGCAAGTTATTTCGTTCACCAAAATACACTTAGAGCAGAAGTGAGTTGTTTTTTGTTTTTGTTTTTTTTTAACAAACGACTTCCTTTGAAGGCTGAGATTCAGAAACTAAAACGGGGCTGCTCTGAGATCATTTGAAAGCTTCTGCTCGTCGTGGGACCCCCAAATCTTTCCTGGGATCTGGGGATAATGACTGCTGTGCCTCACCGAGCGGTCGAATGCAAAGCCTTCAAATACACTTCTATAGAATGAAGCCCACTGCTTGTAGAACACGTTTGTGGGGTGGCGCGTGGCTTTTCTCAGAGTAAGGCCTTTCTTGCGGCCCACCTCGCGGCCCAGCCGGGCAGGGCGCTGGGCAGGCCTGAGCCTTCCGTCTGAAGACGTCGGTAGCAAAGGGCGCAGTGAAGCGAGGCATCCGCGTCTGCCCCGGTGCAGGCGGGGTGGTCGGCGCCCGTACGGTGCTGCCTGGGCGGAACAACCCTGCGGCTCCCCACGCAGTGCCCGGACCCCGCGCCGGCGACCGGGGGACCAAGGGAGGCCGCCGGCCCGCGCACCCCCCCCCCCAGCCGCACCCCTCCAGAGAACGCCGGGGCTAGCGCTCGGGGCCGGACGCCCGCGAGGGAGTCCCCGCCGCGACCCGCGCGGCCTCTTCCGGGTGAGCCGGGCCGCAGCCGCCGGGACCAGCGTAGCTCCGCCTGCGCTGCGCTCGGCTCGCCGTGGGACCGGGACCAGGACCCGGCCCCGACCCCGACCCGGTTCCCGGGCTCTGGCCGCGACCCCCGGCCGAGCGCCCAGCACGCCCCGGGCCTCGGCCTTCGTGCCGGGGCCCCCCACACCGGGACCTGGCTCTCGGAACCCCGCCGGCAACCCCGCTCCCGCCCCCCGAGCAGGTCCCCGGCCTCCGACCCCCCCCGCTCCCGCCCTCCCCGCCGCCGCCCGCGGGGCCGGGGCAGGCGCTCACCTCTCCTTGGAGTAGAGCTGCAGCTGCTGCTCCCGCCGCTTCTTCCGGATAAACGCCATGGAGGGAGGGCAGGGCGCGGGCGCGCGGGGACGCACGGCTCGGGCGCCGCTGTGTCGTCCGCGAGGGGTCAGGGACGCGGCTGGGAGGCGGGCCCGGCGAGCCGGCCTGCGAGGAGCACGCCCGGGGCCTGGCTTCGCGAGCAGTGGCGGCGCTGGGCGCCCCACAGCCCGACCGCCCGACGCTGCGCCCCAGGGCCCCCGGCGTCCGGGCCGCGCTCAGCGGAGCATGATCGCGTGGGGACTCCGGCGGCGCCGTGACTCAGGCCGGAGGAGGGGCGCGCGCTGACCCGAGGCGCCCGACATTCCGGCCCCCGGGGACCCGCGAGGGACCGGGGCCAACCTGCGGTCTGTCTCTACACGCCGAACGTTCCCCGCCTCGCCGCCCGCTGCACCGCTGCGTTTTTAATGTTGCACGCAAGGAAATGGATGCTTGCCCGTGAACTACCCCGCTCTGCTGGCCACGGGGACTCGAAATGACAATGTTTGGGACTCTCGATCTCTCGGTAGCTGAAATACTCGGTCGCATGACTTTTTTCTCTTTTTCTAACAGCTTTTATTGAGTTAGAACTCACATGCCAAGCAAGTCACCCATTAGAATGTACCATTCAGTGGTTTTTGGTATAGTCACAGATAGGCACACTATATCCTTTAGTTGTTAGCTCCCCCAGTACTCTTCAGTTATCACCCCCACGCTTCCTAAGCTCAACCCTAGCAAGCAACTGATCAACTTTTCTGTGCCTATGAATTTGCCTCTTCCTGACATTTCATACAAATGCAATCATACATTATGTAGCCTTTTATGTCTGGCTTCTTTCATTTAGCATAAATGTTTTTCAGGTTCATTCATGCATCTGTACTTCATTCTTTTTTATTGCTGGAGAGTATTCTAGTGTGTGGATATACCACATTTTGTTAATTCATTCATCATTTGGCTATTATGAATGATGCTGCAAGGAAAATTGTTGTACAGGTTTTTGCATGGACAGATGTTTTCATGTCTACTGACTACATACCTAGGAGTGGAATTGCTGGATCATGGGGTAACTCTGTGTTTAAATGTTTGCGAAACTGCCAAACTGTTTCCCAAAATGGCTGCACCATTTTACATTTCCACCAGCAGTGTATAAGGGTTCCAATTTCTTCACATCCTTGTCAACACTTGTTATTATCCGATTTCTCGATTATAGCTCTCCTTGTGGGTGTGAGTGGTATCTCGCTGAGGTTATGACTCCTTCATATATCCTGAGTCTGAGCCTGTAGTTGTAAAGGGATTCTTGTATAACAAACTTCTAAATTGTATATATGCTGACACATATCTAATATTGTCTTACAGATCAGGTTCTACAGAATTCGATTTTAAAAGCTTCAAGTAAATGTGTCTATCAGCTCGCTAGGATGTGGCAGAACTCTGAAGGGAAGATGGAGAGCCAAGACTAAAAGCCAGGGCTGGATCTTATTGAGCTTGATCCCAATAGCATTGGAAAAATGATACGCATAAAGTGGGCACCCATTACAAGCATTTTGGAACGAGTGAAGGTGCATGGATACCCTGTAAGTTGGATTAAGTCCCTTCCATGTGACCAGGTGCTGCGCAGAACCCATAACCGTAAAAACATGTCGGAGACATTAGCCCAGTGCACCCATAGGAAATTGTGGTTAATCGAGGAATCGAGACAAATACATGAACAGATACACGATGAAATAGGACAATAAATTTGCAAAGAGGCACAACATGATAGCTTTCTCTATGAGAAGTACTACAGTAGATATGAATTCTGAAGAGAGAGATCACTTTGGCTGGAATAAGGTAAGAAAACAGCCTGCAAGTTTTCTCCTTTTATTTATTTATTTATTTTATTTTTTATTTTTTTAAAGATTTTATTTATTTATCTGAGAGAGACAGAGAGAGCATAAGCCGGGGGAGGGGCTGAGGGAGAAGTAGGCTCCCCGCTGAGCAGGGAGCCAGATGCCAGGCTCATCCCAGGACCCTGGGATCATGGCCTGAGCCGGAGGGAGACGCTTCACCGACTGAGCCACCCAGGTCCCCCAGCTTTTCTCCTTTTAAACATTAAAGGGTAATGTGATTCTGGTAGGTGGAGAGTGACAATTTCTCCTTGACCAAACTTGAGCCAGGCCTCTTTGAACCTTCTCAGCTAGTCCTCAACCGTGTCCTATAAAAACTACAGACTCCCGGCACAAATGATTTTGTCCACATTCTCCCCAACATTAAAAGACTTAAACCAACACTACCATAGTTTCTAACAGCTCAAGGCCTCATACCTGGGATGACCCTCGCCTCCTTTAAAGTCCCTGTCTGAGAAAGCTCAAGGCTGCCAAAAGGATTTACTGTTTGTTCTAGCCAACACACAACATACGCCCCTGACTGCAGTTTCTTAGAGCATTTACTAAAAAGGGCTTACAATTTGTAAATTCTTTCTCTGTGCCTTTGAGGTAGACATATGTGTACCTCCTACAACTCAGGAGTGCCTTTCTCGAGGACTTGAAAGCCATTCCATTGAAATGTAGTCATCAGGAAGGTTTGGCTTCTGTCTCCCAGTCCCCGAAGATAATTGCCAGCTACCAGATACAGATACAGATACAGCATTTATACTGATTAACCCTTTGTAATTTTTCACTTCCCTGGTTTTATCTTTGGCAAGAGGAGGGGAAGAAACTGGCTCAAAGGGATTCTCTTGAACAATAGCTCAGAAGAGAGATGCTTCTGCTGTCACAGAGTTTGTGTTTGTGGAGAATTAAGATGGAACCCAGGTGGGAATTTCCTCAGCACCCCCTCCATCCAAATCATCCAGCCTACTAGCATCTGCCCCCTTGCCTTCATTACTGCTATTTTGAGGTATATTTGCTCCTACAAAAGGCCACCTTCTTCCCTCTCAGCGATTTAGTCTTTGTAATTATGCTTTGTCTCTTCTTCCTCTCTCTCTTGCTTTGTCTATTTCTCCCTCACTTTTGAATCATCCCATCCAAATATATAGTTTTCAAAAAATGTTCCTTTAATTCCCTCCAGCTCCCCCATTCTTAGCAAAACTTTTTGAGACATCTGTCCATACGTGCTGTCTGCATTTTCTCTCCTTGGATTGATTCTCTTCCATCTAGCCCAACTGGGCTTCTGTTTCCATCCCTTGACTGAAGTGATGTCAAGTCACCGCATTCACTGATCACTTTTCTACTTTTGACTCCCCTGAACTCTCAGCAGAACTCGGCATACTTGAGCTAATGTATTCAACATTAGCTCCTTGTGGGAGCACTTCCCTCCATGACTTGCAAGATGCCATGGTTTCCTTGCTTATCTCTTACCTCGGTTCTTACTTTTTCTCAGTATCCTTGGTTGGTTTCTCTTCTGCCTAACTTCATAACATTGATTCTCTGCACTCACTGTACAGGTCATTCTAACCAGTACCATGATGGGGTGGGGTAAGGGCGGTAGGAGCTGGGACAAAGTCTTAGGTCTAGGTGTGTGTGAATTAAATTGAGTAGCAAACTTCCATGTGAATACTACCATGGAACACATGAGGGAAGATTTCAGGACATGCAGCAAAGTAAAAGACTTCAGTGGAGGATGAGTGAAAGATCACTTTGAAATGTATGTCCCTCAGGAAATGGAAGTTTGGGATGGAACATTAGATGTCCGATAAGACCAAGTAAAGCCCTAAGCCCAACTTATCTTGATCTTCAGTTGCTTACAACTATCATTTGAGGTGATATTGCCTACCTCAAAAGAGGGTGATTGCGCGTCCCGGGAAATATGGTGAAGCTCTGGGAGAGACCTTTCTCTTTATCCATACTTCCCCCATTATCATCCTCATAAACCTCAGAGCTTTATTCCTTTGAAACAGTTTCCATTCAGAGCTATTTTGCAATCACAAGACACATTTTTGAACTCTTGGTAAAATTTTTTTTATTGTACAGGCTCTAAAAACTTCAAAGAGCTTTGTACTCACCAGTTATTATTTTAAATTGTGTTTGGTTGCAGATAAAGATATGTACATTTATGTACCTCCCATTTGCAAAGAATCCATCATCAGCATAAACAAAAATCTTGTCCTTATCTGTAAAATAAGTATCTTTCACTAATGCATATTTCTGAAGAATGTCTGCTTGAGTGATATTAAAAAAATTTATGAAGGCAATTTTTAAAACAATTATGAAGGCAATTAATTATCACCCCCTTCTTAAGTTAGAAATGGTAGCATACATTTTTTTTTTTTACCTAGACAAAATGGCCAATCATCATTCTTTTATGTATGTTATGTTTTGCTACCATTATGCCTTGAAGCTTCCTGTTCTCCGCCTGAAATGCCATTTGCCTTTCACCCAACATTTCTCCCTGTCGAAATCCTACCTACTTAAATTGCCACTCAAGACTTTGAGGCCTTCTCTGATGTACCCAGGTGGAATTTGTCTCACATCCATTCACTCAGTACATGTTTATTTCACACCAGTGTATGTCAGACATCGTAGTGGGCACTGGATAGTGACTTTACAAAGTTCATGGTCAGATGGGGATTTTAAGAGTGATCCCAGTCTATATTATTAGGGTCTCTCTCTCCATTTAGGTTGGAAACTCCTTGGAAACAGGAACAGCAGCCTCCACATTACCACTCATCACAGTATCTTGCACTTAGTGGTTGCTCAATAAATATTTTTGTCACCACTGTGTCTGTTATGATTTGTTGCACTGCAAGTAATAGAAAACTCAGTCCACAGTTGAAGTTCTTTTTCTCACTATTGGCTTTGTTTGAACAGCTCGGTGGTATGATATGACTTTTCTCTTGGGTTTATAGCCGTATGGTCCACAGATCACTGCTTGATCACCATGATCATACCTGGCTTCTGAACAGAAATAAGGAGGAAAGATAGGGTCAGTCTTGTTTGTCCCTTTTACTAGGCGACCAAACGCACTCCCAGAAACACACTCCAGACTTGCACTTACATCTCATTGACCAGAACTGTTCTATAGGCAAGCCTGGGGCAGCAATGGAGACTAAGAAAACAAGTATTTAAATCTTGAAGGCAGGATAGTGGAAAGCAGCCAGACAGAAGGGGGTGGGGAATGGTTCTTGAGTCACGCAACCAGCAGTATGCCCCCCATTGCTAAAATAAAAAATAGCCAAGGGCTATACTTTGATAGTTCTTTTTTTTTTTTTTTTTTAAGATTTTATTTATTTATCCAGCAGAGAGAGAGATGCTGAGCACACAAACAGGTGGAGGGGCAGGCAGAGGGAGAGGATGAAGCAGGCTTCCTGCTGAGCAGGGAGCCCGATGCAGGGCTTGATCCCAGGACTCTGGGATCATGACCTGAGCCGAAGGCAGACGCTTAATCGACTGAGCCACCCAGGCGCCCCTTGATAGTTCTTCTTAAGGAACATCACTCTTTGAGACTATTATTGTCTTCTTTATTTTTTTTCTATAATAAATATGTACTGACTGCTCTGTGCCAGGAAATGCTCCAGG